ATTTCCAAATGTATGCAAATCAGGCTGCAATTCTGAAAAGCAAGGCTGGGTACTGTGATATACAATGGAGTTTTATGGGTTACTATTGCTCACCCTAGCTGTAACAGGCAGGAGAACGCAACCAAATAAGAAACAGGTCTATACTATCCTAAAGACTAGCATGAAAGTTTATGAACGACAGGATAAGCTTTTGTGAAATTCAAACAAATGGAACGTTAGCAATTACTTTAAGATCCTTTTCTGCAGTTCAAAGGTTATTATTATTATCCCCTCTATAAAGTTTTATAAAGGTTTATTATGCGGTCACAGACGCAATTAGACAAAGATAAAATACAGCATATAAAATAAATACATAATATAATATAAAATCTTACTATAGCGTTTTGCGAATTCTCATGGCTGAAAATAAAAACTTAGCCACTAACTGTGTTATTATTTGATTCTCTCTGGACAACAGAAACTTCAGGTAGCTTGTGGGAGGTAGACCTGTACATTTGCTCATGATTGAAACAAGATATCGAATATGTTAAATCCTATGTAAGCTACATTCTTAAATGATGTGCACCAAGGAGTCAATAATTTATTTCCCGCAGGGACAAATCCTTTCACTGTATGGGGTGTTATTAAAACACCCTTTTAAAAGGGCTGAGGGAAAGCAGTTAAATCTAGCCCTTGAAAAGGCAAAGCGATATCTTGGTACTGTAATTTGGTATAAGTAGTTAGCTGCCTGGAGAAGTTAAAATTTAGGCCAAAACACAGTGGTGAACAAGTCCTGTCTGCACAAGCTAGAGAGTACTGAAGGTCTATACAATGGTGCCTCACATAGCGACGTTAATCCGTTCCAGGATTAACGTCGCTATCCAGAATTGTCGCTAAATGGAAAGAAAAAACCCATAGAACCCCAATGGGGGGGAACTCACCGTTGAGCAAAGATCCTCCATAGCGCCGCCATTTTCGTTGCCTTGGTAAGCGAGGGCAGCGCGCGAAAATGCTGCAGGTGGCCATTTTGTGCACCCAGCAGCCATTTTGGATCAGCTATTTAAAAAAACATCGCAATGCAAAGATTGGTAAGCGAAACGCTTACCGATCATCGCAATGCGATTTTCGGCCATTTAGATCATCGCAATGCGATCGAATTAGCAATCGCAAAAAATGTGTCGCTATGCGAATTCGTCGTTAAACGGTGCGCTTGTTATGCGAGGCACCATTGTATTTTTGATACGTTAAATAAGTTATTGGCTTAATGCTACCTTGAGGCTGTCTCAGTAAAAAGTCCATAGAGACTTAATCTGTCAATGAATCAAAAGGAAGCAAAGATTTCTCACTTTAAATCAAAAGGAAAGCAAACATGATCATGAATTCAGTTTATTACTTTTCAGTCCTAAACATAATCACCTGTCTCTATATTATTAGTTATCCTTTCCTTCAACAACACATGAAAACACAGATTTAGGTGCAGAAAAAAATATTAAGGCTCAGAGAAAGTAAGTAGTACTGTCTTCATTAAACTATTTTCAGTCAAAAAAAACTGCAATTAAACTACACATGCAATATTGTGAAATCATGTACTTATTCAAGATTATTTTAAGAAGCAAATTAGCTTAGTTTAAGTTACACTGTGAAAAAATGCACAACCATATTAACCACTGGAGATCACAAAGTCCAGCACGATATCAACACATGTCACTTCCCTTCTCTTACCACTGAAGCACTAGCAGCTTCTCAAAAACCAGCTCCAAAGAATTTCCCAGACCTAGTCCTTTTTTAGGAGAAAACAACCAATCAGTAGGTGTAATCATTAAGGTCATATCTAGATCCAGATGAACACATAATAAGCCGAAGTACTCTTTCTGAGAAAAAAGCAAAACAAAACAAAACAGAAACAAAAAGATGCCTGATTCAACCCTGGCATTTGCCAGGCATGGCCCGGAAAGACTCCTGGGGAAAAACACTTCTAATCAAACTATGCAGTATGAAGTGGAATTGACCAACAATTGCACTTTGCATATCAAATGAAAAATGGTTGCTTTTGTTTGTGACATCAATTTGAAAACTGCTCATGTATCCTCAGGTTAAACACAATAGTTTCAGTTCATTCCTCGTATGATTTAAATTACTAATCCTAAAATACTATTTTTCATCCAGCTATATACATAACCTTAATGAGCAATCTTACGCATGTATACTGTTTTCTGTTTCACATTTGCACTTCAGTGCGTGCTTTAGAATTACGTTTTTTCCTAGCCAACCAAATTTGTTCAGCACCAGCTGAAATCCTGTTGTATAGCTGCATGGATGTAACTCAATGTTACATTTATAGTAGCTGAAGTTGTGCCAAGGCAGAAGTGCTATCCATGAAGAACTTGCATCGGTACATTGTGCAATCTGTCAAAAGGTGAATGGAACAACCAATAGTGCAACTGACTTATGCATTGCTAGGGCAGAACACCTGGCATAACGGCATAACTTTATGTTAGACCTTGATGGACAATATTTCAACAATAGCTGAAGAAACACAACCACAGCATTACCACCATTCTCCTACCATGTTTTAAATAAAACAAGATATGGCAGAACAGTTGAATAAAGCTTATACTGTATAATATGTGCAACTAAAGAGAGCAACTAAAATGATGACTGGGCTGGGGCACCTCCCTTATGAGGAAAGGCTATAGTGTTTGGGGTTCTTTTGTCTAGAGAAAAGGAGCCTGACGAGGACATGACTGAGACATATAAAAGTATGCAGGGGATGGATAAAGTGGACAAAGGGAAGCTCTTTTCCCTCTCACACAATAGCAGACCCAGCAGACATCCACTCAAACTGAATATTGGGAGAGTGAGAACAGACAAAAGAAAATATTTCTTTACCCAGTGTGCTATTTAGTCTGTGAAACTGCTTGCCACGGGATGTAGCAATGGTATATGGCCAATATGACTTTAAAAGGGGATGGAACAGATTCTTGGAGGAACATCCATCACAGATTACAAGCCAGGATGGGAATGTATAATCTCCAGGCTTAAAAGGAAGGTACTTCAAAATGCCACATACAGGGGAGGGGGATCAGGAGATAGGTATCTAGTTGTCTCGTGTGCTCCCAGAGGTATCTAGTGGGCCACTGAGCCTGACGGGGACATGACTGAGACATATAAAAGTATGCAGGGGATGGATAAAGTGGACAAAGGGAAGCTCTTTTCCCTCTCACACAATAGCAGACCCAGCAGACATCCACTCAAACTGAATATTGGGAGAGTGAGAACAGACAAAAGAAAATATTTCTTTACCCAGTGTGCTATTTAGTCTGTGAAACTCCTTGCCACGGGATGTAGCAATGGTATATGGCCAATATGACTTTAAAAGGGGATGGAACAGATTCTTGGAGGAACATCCATCACAGATTACAAGCCAGGATGGGAATGTATAATCTCCAGGCTTAAAAGGAAGGTACTTCAAAATGCCACATACAGGGGAGGGGGATCAGGAGATAGATATCTAGTTGTCTCGTGTGCTCCCGGAGGTATCTAGTGGGCCACTGAGAGATACAAGAAGCTGGGCTAGATGGGCCCTTGGCTTGATCCAGCAGGGCTCTTCTTATGTTCTTATGTGTTCAGTAAAGCCATGTTGTCTTCTTCAGTCAGTCAATCTTTCTCAGAATGTTTTTGAAATTGTATTATTTCCCAGTACTTTTCTGCTCACTTCTTTTTGTTTAGGGTACAAAATTATTTCATGTCTGCACTATTCTCTTCATTTACTCTTAATTTATTACTTGTAGCATCAAAGTATTTTTTCCCAAATGCCTTCCACCTCCAAATTCTTTATAATTTTTTTTCTACTGAGCAGAACTTATTTGCATGTTTGCCTTTTCAGCACTAAGGACAGTACTGTACAGAATTCATTTTCAAATACAATTGGTAGTGGGATGAGACCGAACCACATACAATCCTCTCTGCAGTCACCATAATCTACTTGAATGTCCTTTAATCATCCAGTGTTAATGAAATGTATAAAGGGTTCAGTTGGAGAAAAGGAAGATAAAAGTTCAATTGTACAACAAAAACACAGCTTGGATAATACTGGATGTCATGCTCAAAAACAAGCAGTGATTGTCAGTACATACCAGATACTTTGGGGAGATATTACATAATGTATTTCATGACCAGTAAAAGGCTCTTTACCACTGAGATAGTGGGGGCTCGTGTTATCAGAGGCTGCTTGGAGATCCTGATTCAAATGGATCAAATTGGGCTCCAACCAACTATACTTTAGTCAGCATGTTTTTGCTTTAGAAAAAACCCTTGTATTCTGGCATAGTCATATCTAAAAAGGCTTCTAGATAAGGACAGGAATTTTTGATTTTCTGGATTACACATATCGTAATTCTCCATTCTGGCACCTTTCAATCACCTCAGTGTGATGCACCTGGTAGAAAGGCCTTAGAAGTCTTAGCAAGAACTAGCTCTGCCTAGCTTCCTGATCAGAAAGAGAGAGCTCAGCTAGCACTGAGGCAGGAAGAGGAGGATTGGCTAAAATTTAGCCGAGCTAAACCTCAAAGGCTTCTAATTTAGGACCTTTTTGCTGGGTGCATCACACTGATGCATTTGAAAGGTACCTGAAAAGCAGGAAAAATTCCCAGAATGAAGAATTACAGTATTTGTAGTCCACAAAATCCAAAAATCCCACCCCTAGTTTCAAAGTTACAAATGCATCCAATTGTAACCAGTGGGTAATATACATGAAACCTATCTTTCAGGAACAGAAATTCACTAACAAATCTACATTTAAAAATTAGACTCACAACATTTTTAAACATCACAAAATATAAATATATACTTTAGACAATTGTCCTCTTGCTTCAAAACAAAATTTCTAATGGGAAATTTCAGTTAAATGAACATTAAATCTAAAATCCCTTTGCTAAATTTGTTATTTCTTTCTACTGGTAATTATTTCTTAATTATATGTAACACAGTAATTTGACTTTGCCTTTCTATAATGATGTTACCTGTCATTTATAATCCAGTTCAGACACAGATTGAGGGAAGTTAGGTTTTTGCATCTCTTTACTATTTCCATCACTGTTTCATTATCCAGTTCTGTGATATGGCGTAGATCCAAACTGGAAAGGTTTCTTAGCTATTAAGATAAATTCAAAGGTAAGTATTATAACTCATATATAAGCACAGAAGTAGTTATAGAATTATTTTCAAGTTGGATTGCTTGAACGTCTCTTTGTCCAATAATGTATTTTCTTGTAATTAAAAAAGTAACTTCAAAAATAAATACTTTGCATTTTGATTCTCAAGAAAGTCCACTTCAATTTTAGATTGTTATCCAGAACAATGTCTCTGATTTTCTTATTCACCAATAAACACAGCAGAAATAACTGTAAAAGATTTTTATATATTTAAATTTTGTTTGCAAGCTTTTCAACCCTACCAGCTAATTAAAATAAATTGATCAAGATTACCACATGAAATATGAAAAAATAAATCAGTCAAACTGTAAGATACTTGTGAAAAATTAACTTCCTGTGAAAAAGCTATCAGTCAATAGTTACACAAATAATAATAAGACAAAGACAAAAACCTTTATTGGCCTTAAGAGACTAAAACATAACCAAACTAGTTCATTAAGTGCCCCATGCATACAAAATCCAGGAGGTAGGAAAGCAGAAGGCCAAACCCTTCAAAGACATTTAATTGAAAATAAGGCTTCGCTTTTTCACAACTGAATTGATGAAATCTGCAATTTTTCCCAGAATGTCAGGCACCTCCACAGATAACATAAAACGGACTTTGTCCATGTCAGATTTTCCCTCCAATTTTAACAGGACCGGTGCCACAAATTTGGAGTGATCACTCTGGTGGAGTGGACAGTGCAGAAACACGTGGGCAAGAGTTTCCAATGCACCCTGTTCGCATGAGCAATGTCTTTGGAGGTACGGGATTCCTTTGAACCTACCACATAGTAAGGCTGCAGGCATGACATGGCACTTGGCTAGGGAGAATGCCCTGCATTTTTGTCGACACTTGAGCAGAGAAAGGAAGGCAGATGGTTTTCCAATCTTAAAGGGAATATGGGAAAACAGTGGTGAGCAAGTCTTACTGGCTGCGTTCCACAGTTCCTGGAATTCAATGTCCAAAATTCTTCTTTTGATCATTTGGAAGTCTTTCTCTTGATTTAGTGAGCCCAAGTAGTCACTATCTAAGGCAATACATTTCAGTTTTTTTAAAGGGCAGTAGACCAAAGGGAGGTTTAAAGTCCAGCAATAGTTGATATAATAAACTATCTGGGTCAGAGTTGTAGAAATGTTTTAGCCAGAATTGAAATGATCTTAGCCAAGCCATTGTTTCCAAGGAGGAAAATCCAGTCTCTAGACAAAGCACCAAGTAGGGAACACAACTTGGTAGCCCTAGCACTTTACGTAAAATTTGAGATTGCATCCGTTCAATTGACCTATCCATGGCATTTAACCAGATTGGGATGCCATATAAAATTTGTAGGATAATTTTGGATTTAAAAACCTGTAAAGCCGTCAGAACATAACTGCTGGAATTCTAATAGAAATGAAGTATTGCCTGACCAGTGAACCTAGCTACATTTATAACCATTTTACGATGGGGAGACCAGGAATGTTTATAATGGAACAGGATGCCTAGATATTTATACTCTTTAACCTGTTCGCTTTTGTGTCCATACAGATTCCATTGAAGTTGCTTCCACGACTTTGAGAAAACCAAAATTTTGGATTTATTATAATTCAGTTGCATTTTATTTTTGTCCATGTATTCCACAGTTCTGTTAATTAAACATTTCAAATCTGGACAAGAGTGCGAGATGATAACAGCATTGTACGCATAAAGTGATAACGGAACATGATGCGTCCCCAATTTTGGTGGATGACCCTCCACACTGGGTAGAAAGGGGGGTTATAATAATAACAAAACCCTTAAGATAATGTTCTGGTTGTTTTATGAACAACATAATTCTGTGCTAAAAGTTAATATGAATTTAGGTACTTCTATTAACAGAAACCACTGCAGTCCTCCGATACTCCCCGATTTGGCCCAGAAAGCTAGAAACTTTTAATATAAATATGCAATCAATGAGTGAGGGACAAAGTATGTTACAAAAAGGAAGATGAAAATAAAACTGGCATACATACAAGATTTCTCTACAGAAAAACCAAAAAATTCCTAAAATACAAGCAAACTTTCTGAGCACCACTATGAAATGCAGATATTTAGTCTTCAAGGAACACAAGAGTTGCCTAATGAAACAAAACAGTTCTTATTCCTGGTTGTTAATGCACTATAGCTATTTGTAGCTTTCGTACTTAAAAAAAATTAATTTGGCAACAGTCACATCTGATTTATGTGTTGTGTTTAAATATATCCTTTCTTGACTTCAATTGTTCTAATGAATTTATGTGATTTTAAAGCTTTTACAGTGAGATTGGTTTACATTATTTTATGATTTTTGGCTAAATGTGGTTTTATCAAGTTTTATTCTCTTAACAAGGCTGTAAGCCACCCTAAACACTACGTGTTAATAGAAAGGCGTAAGACTTATATACAAGACTTAACAAATAGCTACTTCCTATCACACACCATTTGTTAGACTTGGTGTGCAAGAGGAAACATCTTAGCCAGCATCAATCTGATTCTGATAGTTAGTACAGTACTAACACCAGGGTACTTTGTTGTTAATCTGGCAGGTCAACAAATAGGATTCTGGCCTGTACCTTTTAATAATTACCCATGTTTATGACAAGTTATGATTAAAAGTAACAGGCCAGGTATCTAGTGCAAAAATATGCTATTTATTTTGGAACATCTCCAATGAATCCAACATGAAATAAGAGAGAACTGTTCTTTTATTTTAGAAATAGAGTGTTGCTATGTATTTTATTCTACTCCAGGGGTCTCTAAAGTATGGCCCACGGGCATTTTTATCTGGCCTGTATGTGCGGGTGGGCAGGCGGGCAGGCAGACATGAGCGTGGATGTGCGTTCATGCGTGCAGGTGGATGGGAGGACAGGCAGGCAGATGGGAGTGCGCGCATGTGCATTCCTTCAACCCTTGAAAATATCAAAAACATATTATGTGTGCCTACATGTGAAAAGTTTGGGGACCTCTGTTCTACTCTAACAATTCTGTACACAGTTGTAACAGTGTCTGTGTATATATGAGGTATAGAAAACCACTTGAGAGATTACAATAGAATTTTCATTCCAGCTGAATGCAGGGTACAGAAAATGAACAAACTATGATGTCTAGAATCAAACACATTCAGATTGAATTTTGCATTCCTCAGAAGAGAGTCAGATGCCAATATTTTATTACTAATTTACTCTTACATAAGAGACATCAAGTAAGTCTTGGCAACAAACTTCTGCTCATTAACAAGGTACATTCTCAGGACTGTTCCCAGGAATTCAGCTAATGCCCTGTTAATGAGGGGCAACCTGTCACCATGATTTTTTTTTAACTGAAGCATATATTGGCAATAAGATTCTGGCCAGAGAGCCAGCTGTGTCTTGGGATAACCCTGATACAAATATACCACAGCAAAACTGAGGGGGTATTAAAACACAGATAGCACCCTACTGTATTAGCCATGGACATTTATTTCATACAGTATTAATGTTTACCTACAAAAAAGTTACATGCACCCGGAGTACACATAACCCCCTCCTGCCCTCAGAAATATTTTTGAGGGCAATCTCCAAAAATTGTTTCCAATTGAAGACAGTATTTAAGACCCCTTTCTCCCTTCAAATTATTCATGATATACCCTGGACGCTTTTACTACCTTTAAGTAATACTGACATTTTAATTAAAATGTACTGTTTCAGTGTGATAAAACAATGATCCGAACATCCATTAGTGAGTTAAGTTTAAAATTAGACATTCACATGAGTGCACTTCTGATATTGTATGACCAGTCAAAACACTATTCCATTAAGCCCTTACTGATAGGGGAGGGCAGTTCCATAAAAAGTTATAATTTTGAATGAATTCTTGAAACAGGACATAGTTGGCTGAGACGTAGTAGACAGTATAGGCTTACTGTGCGTCAAAGTTGGAAGAGGTTAAATAAGAGCTTTCAAAGTTCTAATTTTACTTTAAAAACACCTTCCCACACCTGTGATCTCATTTTGCTACCATTTGCTTTTGCAGCTCATAGCAAATTCAGTAGTATTTTTCTTCAAATGTTTTTCTTCAAATGGAAGTATTTTGTAGAAACCACCCAAACTTTTTACTATTACTTTGGGTAACTAATGAGACTCAGTGAGGTGAATGAAGTTTACTTCTGGGCAAAACAGTAGATTGGGACTTTAAGTCACTTAAACAAAAGCACACAAAGGAGAATAGAGGAGAAACTATGAAAGAGTGGGCAGTCAAGAGGAGTGGAGACAGAGACAGACAGAGAGTGGAGCATACAGAAAAAGCTCCTCTCGAATATTTTATGGCTGCTGGGTTATGAAGAAACTCTTCCCCCTACCTTAATTTCTTTCTTGTCTTCTCAGATATTTGGAAAGAGCAAGCCAATGTTGTACTTCAGTGAGCCCCATTTAGCTTAATAAGTCATATTCTCAAGGTGTAATTTAGCTTGAAGTTCTGCACCTATGAACTCAGCAGGAAGTCCCTCTGAGATAAGTAGAATTTATTTATGGGCAAGACATCATATTAGGACTGCAGTTTTATCACAGGAACAAGTGTTAACTGGACTCAAGTGGAGTTTCTTCTGACTATGCTGGTAGCTAGGATCACTTGCCAACGAAGTATTCAGAAACACTCTCTTCTTGGGTTCATAACACATAAGTGCAAGGAACACTTCAAATGAAATCTTGTGCAAGCCAATTTGAATTCAGTGAGACTTATTTCCAGGTATATATGATATTATACTCTAAACATCCCAGTGATACCTTCTATTGTAAATTGGGGCATATACTGTATTGTGAAACTTCTGTTTTAAAAAGCCAGAAAATCCAATCATTTAAAAAAACAACTTTGATTTACAAATGTGGGCACTCCTTTTATAACCATGATTCAAACTGCTAAAAAATAGTCTAACATTGCCTTGGAATATCATGCCTGTGTTGCCAGCAGGGGACACAAGGCATACTA